GGTGGCCATCTTAAATTGGGTTGATCCCAAACGTTAATCAGTTGCCGATGTGCAAAAACTGATTACTGTGTGAAAAATTCACCAAATCCATCTTGTGGTTCATGAGATATTTTGCTAACTTGACAGGGAATTAAGTAGACACRTTCAAAATAATTATGGCGTTCCATTCAGATAAATCAGGTTCAGCATCTCAAGACACATACTTTAAATGAAACTGATCTAACGGTTATGTTATTTATCACACCTTTGCTTTTCTTGCCACGACAAGTCAAATCGTTTATTTGGGAAAATAAGGGGTTCAGTTGATGTGTTTATGCCAGTGGCACTGTGAACCACTTGTTCAAATAATAGTTCACGTGTTTCTGGTTTTATGTGACTGTAGCCTGATTTTTGATTGCTTTGAACCCAGTGTGTGTAAAAAAAAATAAAAATAAAAAAGCTAAAGGAGAGGAAATAAATCTGCCTTTTATTTCCCATCTTATAAGATTTTATTTTCTTACATCCTGCTGGAGATGAGGTGCACAAACATTAAAATTTGATTTGGGCAAATAATAAACTGAACACGCCACAACTCCTCCGCTCCCCCAAGATGTCGTTCAGATGAATTTTGTCTCATTTGCATTTACTGAAATCTTAAAAATTCAAGGCCCAGCATTTCTTGAAAATAATGTTGCCATCTTGAATTGGATTGCCTTTAAATTATTATTGCTAAAAGCAGTGGAAGAACCAGSGGATGGCCATGGCCACCATGTAAAMTMYTTGGTCACCCTAAGCACTCCTTTGCCAGAAAAATATTGGCAAAGCCATTTTTCAATGCAGAATGTTCATTTTAGTGGCAGTGCTCCAACAGGTAATTCTCATGATGTAACTGTACAGTACATGGTAGTCACAGCCTATGTAAATGAGAGAATGACAAAGGAACACAATCAGATCCTTAGCAGACTGACATGTGGGAAAACAAATTGTTTTTATTTTCTGGACCACCCTTGTGTGACTAGTGGTCCCAGTCTGGCATCCCTACAAAAGTTTTCTGGCTCCACACCTGGCGTACATGTCAACCCCTTCAGATGTTTACCTGTTATTTGACCCTCAGAAAGTCATACTTTTTACACAAATCTGCAGTACACTGTAGTAACGGACTGTCGGCCACAGGGACAGGATGTGGTGGCAGAGATAACAGCATCTGAAGCGGCAGAGGAGCAGGGAGAGGAGGGCGAGGAGGAGGCAAACTTCTTTCCTTACAGCCTGCTGGCTCGGATACCACAACAAATTTTAGCTCACTATTTGTAAAATTGACAATTTTGTGTTTTCAAAAAAAAGTCCCCTGTGGCAATCGTCTTGTGTTGGACTGAGTTTTAAAGTTTTTTGAGTTGTAGTTGTCAACTGAATGATTATTTTCTGGAAGATTCATTACAATTTGTCCACTGGTTCATGAAATAGTTTGCAAACAAAGTTTGGATTCGGATCATTAAAGGCAAAGTTTTACACACAGAGCCGGTCTGATGCGCTCGGCATATAAATTGGGGAGGCATCTCAGCTACTACCACRCCAAAATTAAGCTCAATTTCTGCAAAATTACCCAAGTTATAGCAAATAGTGTTTGCTAAGATTGCCTTGCCATTTTGAAAAGAGTTCACTCCAAATAGTAATCAGTCAATGATTACTTTTTGAAATATTCATAAAATTTCACTCATTGGTTCCTGAGCTATTTTACTAATTGTACAAACACACACACAAGCACAAACACACACGAGCAAAAATAAAAATTGCTACGACTTTGCCTATGGTGGCAGGTGATAATAAGCACACGCACGACCTAGAATGACCATTTTAACCTGGGTTTAAAAAAAGGAGTCGTACACATGACTTCAGTGTCGGAGTGAAAAGGAAGCAAGAATGTGTGTGTGGAGGGGCGTGTGTGTGTGGTGTGTGTATGCGTTTGTGCCTATCAGACGGATTTTATGTCTGTGAGGCTCAGCTTTGATGTTGGGACACACACGTGCATGCACACACTTGCAAGCACTTGTACGCACACATACACACAGACATACACACACACACTACAAATGATTGTTTTTAAGAATTCAAGCCAGGGAGCTCCAGTAGGCAGTCTGCCAGCTGGCCAGGGTCCAGAGAGTGGAGCGTAGCCAACACAGAGAGAAGAAACCTGGCCAGTACACACACACACACACACACACACACACACACACACACACACACACACACACACACACAC